CCCCAAAACCCCAAAACCCCAAAACCCCAAAACCCCTCAAAAATCCAAAATTTGAATTAATACAATTAAAAATGTTTCAAGGAGGTACTCTAGAAGGACTCAGTAAGGAAGCCAAAGTCAAGATTGGTCAACTTTACGAGCAATTTCTGTGTGAACGAGAGGAGAAAGAAGAAATTTTGGAGAATTATAACTACGAAAAGGAAAAATTCGAACAGATTATAGATCTCCTTCAGAGCCAAAAGCTTAATAATGAGAAAGTAGAGGCTGCCAAGTCTAATCTTGAGGAAGGATATGGCCGTAAAAGAGTAGATACCGATAATCTTGAGAAGATACCTTTTCCGGACTGCTTTAAATCTGACTCTAAGCCTGATTTTAAGACTCCGGATCATCACCAGAACTTCCATAGTCCTACACCAGGGACTAGAAGAAATGAGCTTGCAAGCCCAATCCAGTACTTTGATAAAGTGATTAATGATATTAAAGGAATGAAAGATGAGTTGACTAAAATACATCAGGATCAGGTGAGGCAGTTTGCCTTGGCTAGTCCGATATCAGCCATGTCGAACACCTACAGGAAGAACGATGTTGTCTCCCCAGATAGATTGGGACATCCACCCGAGAGCATCCCTGGCACTGGCGTTAAGAGTACCTCTCAGCTAAGTCTTAAGGACTTGACGAGTGAAAAAGGGGAGGTTTCTAAGAAGAAACAACGTCAAAAGTAAGTATTTAGTATTTTACACACAGGAAAAACAAGCATATATGCAGAAGCAGCGAAGAGTCTGATGATGTCGAGGAGGAATGAAGGTAATTTTAGAGAAAATATTAAAAAATTGCTTTAATCTCTTAGCACTATTACCTTTGTAGTTTATGATTTTTACTAGAAATCAGGATTTATGCTGGCAATTACAGACACTTCGAGTACTTCCAAAGCAATAATTTAATTCCATGTTCTTCTAAGCCTTCTCATAGGTGCAAAAAGAAGTCTAAAAATAGCAAAAAGCAGCTGAAAACTTCGTATAACCCTAATACAAAATAAGTACAAAAGAGATATGAGGGATGATCAAGTTTTTGGACGTGAAAAGCAGGGGGCCAAAAGCACTTATCTCTACAAAAAGCATGAAAATTCCTTCGGGACAAGCTCCGAGAAAGGTGCCTTCTTCAGCTTATCTATAGCATTTAAATCGAACAGGATTAATCAGAGCAAGTACTCGATGCTGAACGAAAAGGAATATAAGGACAAGCTCAGGAGGATGTATAAGAGAGCTGCTGAGAAGTCCCTCAGGATGTCTCAGAGGTTCAGTGCAGAGAACCTCCCTTCCCATCCAAATCTGTACAACCGGGCTTTGTACCCCTCTGTCACTCAGATTGCCAACTACGAGTCTAAGCAGGCTAAAAATAGTAATAAGAGGTGAGTTTTCAGCTCAAAATTTAGGTACTCTGAGAAGGAAGAGAATGTGCTACTCAAGTCGAGAAACCTTCATGACGAGTCTCTATTCGAGATGATTAATGAGATTGATCACTGATATGAAGGCAACCGGAACGACCAATCTCAGGAGTCTAATTAGAGCTTTGACTATTTCAATTTAAATTTTTAAAAATGGGGTTTTGGGGTTTTGGGGTTTTGGGG